GGCCACTGCACTCCAGTCTGGGCGACGGAGTGAGACTCCAACTCAAAAAAAAAAAAAATGCTATTTATTAATTTTTTATTTACTTGAGTTGGGATCTCACTGTCGCCCGGGCTGGAGTGGACATGGCACGGTCACGACTCACCACAGCCTCTGTCTCCTGGGCTGTGGATACTTCCGCCTCAGCCTCCTGAGTAGCATGGACTACAGGTGCGTGCCACCATGCCCAGCTAATTTTTTGATTCTTTGTAGAGGCGAGATCTCGCTACATGGACCAGACTGGTCTCAAACTCCTGGACTCCAGCAGTCCTCCCACCTTGGCCTTCTAAAGTGCTAGGATTACAGGTGTGAGCCACTGATTAAGTTTTTAAAAATATGCTGAGAAGTTGAGTAAGATGAGCTTTACAGATGCAGCCAAGCAGCACAAGGGCCAAGGCTGGGTCTGTTTTCACTCACCACTGTAGCTCCAGTCCTTAGAGGAACGCCTGCCACCCAGCAAGTTCTGGAAAAATACTTGCAGCATCAATGAATGGTGCATAATATATGTAACCAATAATAGATGCATGGGTTATTTCAAATTAAAAATGACCTCAGAAGGATTATGGGAGGAAACAGTGTCTACATTAGAACATGAATATAATATTCCAGGTAACCCAATCCCAGAAGTCAAGGAATGTACCATTGTGTGTTGTCAGTCTCATTTCTTATATACCTAATTGTATTTATCAGAGGAAAGTATGTTAGATTATTACTCTTCTTGAGAGAATTGTAGGATTCTTAGCTTTTTATTAAACTTTTTTAGGGTCACTTCAGTTTAAAGTTGAAATGAAACTCTTTGAGGCTGAAGTGAGGGCATGGTGGTGTGTGTCTGTAGTTCCAGCTCCTTGGAAGACTGAGGTGGAAGGATTGCTGGAGCCCAGCGGGTTGACGCTGGGGTGGCGGTGAGTGTGCCACTGCACTCCAGCCTGGGTGTTTGTTTATTTATTTATTTATTGAGTTGGAGTGAGACCCCAACTCAATAAATAAATAAACAAACAAACAAATAAGTGAAGCTCTTTGAAAACATCACTAAGTTTTCCTAAAAACACATATATTTGCCAAGGTGTTGTATTTTAAGTTTTTTTTTTTTAATTTTCTAATTTTTTATTTATTTGAGTCAAAGTCTCCTGGCCTAAGGATTTTAGTGATGAGGTTTTTCTACCAAATACTTACATTCCCACCCTGGATGCAAGGTTATGCTAATTACTGTCTGCACTACAGGAAATGTTCATACATTCAAGAAACTCATAGGTAAAGTCATACAATTAATAGAGAACAGCAGACTATTTTTTACATATAAATATGTGTGTATATATAGTATATATATGTGTGTATTATATGCATATGTGTATATGCATGTATACTATATATGAGTATTATATGTGTGTGTATGTATATATTACTCTTTATGCCAGATTGTTGTTTCAGAAAGACTGAGTATTGTAAAAGTCAAAAGAAGGGATTATTAATAATTGGGTAGGCACAGTTTTTGGAAGAAGTGGGCCTTTATTTGAAGGCTATATATACATTGTTTGGACAGTTAGATATAGAGGACAAGCCTGCACACGGTGGCTCAAGCCTGTAATCCCAGCACTTTGGGAGGCCAAGGAGAGAGAATTGCCTGAGACCAACCTGGGCAACTTGGTGAGACCTTGTCTCTACAATAAATAAAAAAAGCTGGGCATGGTGGTGCACGCCTGTGGTTCCACCTACTTGGAAGGCTGAGGCAGAAGGATCGCCTGAGCCCAGCAGGTTGAAGCTGTGGTGGCCATGAGCGTGCCATTGCACTCCAGCCTGGGCAACAGAGAGACTCCAACTCAAAAAAAAAAAAAAAGGAGGACAATCCTGATTTTCTGTTTCTAGTTAGTACTAGGGTTAGGGTTTTACTATTGTGAATAATAATTAGTGAGAATTAATCATTGCATCTCTTCCTTTAGAATATCAGCACTGGAATGGCCATAGCTGGAATGATGTTACTTCTAAGAAGTGTTCGACTGGTAAGTTAAAAGACATTATATGATAGGCAATAGGTAGTTAATTTATTCCTATTTCTCAGATGATTTTTATCCCATCACTGTATTATTTTTGTTGGAAGTTGTTTTTTTTTTTTTTTTTTTGAGTTGGGAGTCTTAAGGCCACCCCAGGCCTCAACCTTCTAAGTAGCTGGAACTACAGACACACACCACCATGCCTGGCTAGTTTTTGTGATTTATTGTAGAGATGAGGTCTCATCAGATTGCCCAGGCTGGTCGCAAACCCCCAGGCTCAGGCAGTCTTCTCGCCTCGGCCTCCCAAAGTGCTGGAATTATAGGCTGAGCCACCGTGCCCAGCCATACTGGAAGTTTTTAAATAGTATTTTAGAATAATGAACGTATTGTAAGGTTTTGTTTTAAAAGTAATATATCTGCAGGATTTTACAGAAGGTAACTGCACAGTCTATATTTCCATAATCATTTTTTTCAGGCTTAAAAGGGAATCTGAAAAGGATTAGTTTACTAAAATGTTATTGTCACTAAATTTGCATTTAAAACATTGTGGAGTATCTCAAAAGTGTTTTCTATGGTGCCTTTAGATTTAGATCACATAGCTGGACACAATGGCTCACGCCTGTAATCCCAGCACTTTGGGAGGCCGAGGTGAGAGGATTGCCTGAGCCCACTGGTTCGAGACCAGCCTGGGCAATATGGTGAGACCTTTTCTCTACGATAAATCAAAAAATTAGCTGGGAATGGTGGCACATGCCTTTGGTTTCAGCTACATGGAAAGCTGAGGTGGAAGGATTGCCTGAGCCCAGCAAGTTGAGGCTGTGGTGGCGGTGAGCGTGCTACTGCACTGCAGCCTGGGTGACAGAGTGAGACTGAATCAAAAAAAAAAATAAAAAAGATTTAGATCACAGATGAATTATGTATTATAGCACTGAATAATTTTTGCTTTAAGGTAGCACCTTATTTTGGTCCTTTCAATAGTGTTTTATTACTGACATAATAGACAAAATGTATTATTCCATACTGATTAAACAATAACTCCACTACTCCTCACCCCCGGTCCCTGCAACCATCATTTCATTTTCTGTCTCTGATTTTGGTTACTCTAGGTACCTCATATAAGTGGTACCTCATATAAGTATTTATCTTTTGTGACTGGCTTTTTTCACTTAGCCTGACATTCTCAAAGTTCATCCATGTAGCATACAGGATAAATTTCATCCCTTTTAAAAAGGTTCCAGGCTGGGCTCGGTGGCTTATTCTGTAATCCCAGCACGTTGGGAGGTTGAGGCGAGTGGATTGTCTGAGCCCGTGAGTTCGAGAACCCCCCGGGCAACTTGGTGAGACCTCATCTCTACAATAAATAAAAAATTAGCTGGGCGTGGTAGCACGTACCTGTAGTTCTAGCTACTTGGAAGGCTGAGGCGGAAGGATCACCGGAGCCCAGCAGGTCGAGGCTGTGGAGGCCGGGAGTGTGCCACTGCACTCCAGTCTGGGCGACAGAGTGAGAATTCAGCCCCCCCCCAAAAAAAGGTTCCAGTAGTATTCTATTGTAAGTGTATATCACATTTTGCTTATCTGCCCGTCTATTGATGGACACTTGGGTTGCTTCTATATTTTAGCTATTGTGGATAATGTTTCTGTGAATGTGGGTGTACAAATATGTACTGAGATCCTGCTTTCAGTTCCTTTGGAAATACCCCAAGTGTATTAAATGGTAGTTGTATTTCTAATTTTTTGAGAAACTGCCATACTCTTACAGTGGCTGTACCATTTTACATTCTCTCCAGCAATACGCAAGGGTTCCAATTTCTTCATATCCTTGTCAACAATTATTATTTTCTGCTCTTTTGATAACCATCCCAGTGGGTATGAGGTGGCATCTCATTGTGGTTTTGATTTGCATTTCTCTAATGATAAGTGCTGTTGAGCATCTTTTCATGTGCTTACTGTCCTTTTATATATGTTTTTGGGAGAATTTTTGTTCAACTTTTTTGCCCATTTTCGACTCAGGTTTTTTGCTTGTTTTTTTTTTTTTTGAGTTGGGGTCTCACTCTGTCACCCAGGCTGGAGTGTGGTGGCACGATCACAGCTCATTGCAGTCTCAAATTCCTGGGCTTAGGCAATTCTCCCCTCAGTCTCCTGAGTAGCTGGGACTACAGGTACATGCCCTCATGCCTGGCTAATTTTCTTATTTATTTATTTTTTTAGAGATAAGTTCTTGCTATGTTGCCTAGGCTGGTCCTGAACTCTTGGGCTCAAGCAATCCTTTTGCTTAGGCTTCCCAAAGTGCTGGGATTATAGATGTGAGCCTCTGTGCATGGCCTGGGTTAGTTTTTTTGTTGCTGAGTTTTTGGAGTTCTTTTTATATTAGATATTTGATTTGCAAATATTTTCTGTCATTTTGTATGTTGTCTTTTGAAACTCTGTTAATAGTGTTTATTGATGTGCAAGTTTAAAATTTTTTTTCTTTTTTGAGTCAGAGTCTCACTCTGTTGCCCAGGCTGGTGTGCAGTGGCATGCTCATGGACACTGCAGCATAAGTCTGCTGGGCTTCTGAGTAGCTGGAACTACAGGCACATGCCACCATGCCCAGCTAATTTTTTGATTTATTGTAGAGACGAGGTTTCGCCAAGTTGCCGAGACCTGGTCTTGGACCTCTGGACTCAGGCAGTCCTCTCCCCTCAGCCTCCCAAAGTGCTGGAATTACCGTGCCTGACCAAGTTTTAAATTTTTATGGTGTCTAATTTGTCTATTGCTGTTGCTTACGTCTTTGGTGTCACATCCAAGAAATCATTGCCCAATCCAATAATGTGAAGCTTTTGCTCTGTTTTCTTCTAAGAATTTTATAGTTTTAGCTCTTAAGTTTAGGTCTTTGATATATCTTGAGTTAATTTTTTTTTTTGAGTTGGAGCCTCACTCTGTCGCCCAGACTGGAGTGCAGTGGCCGCTCCCGGCCACCACAGCCTCGACCTGCTGGGCTCTGGCGATCCTTCCGCCTCTGCCATCCAAGTGGCTGGAACTACAAGTGTGCACTACCACGCCCAGCTAATTTTTTAATTTATTGTAGAGATGAGGTCTCGCCAAGTTGCCCAGGCGGGTCTCGAACCCGCGGGCTCAGGTAATCCACTCACCTCAGCCTCCCAAAGCACAGGATTACAGGCTGAGCCACTGAACCCGGTCACAGCCACCACAGCTTTTTTTTTGTTTTGAATGGAAGTCTTACTCTGTCATCTAGGTTTTTTTTTTCTTTTTGAATTGAAGTCATACTTTGTCACCTAGGTTGGGTACAGTGGCATGATCACAGCTTGAACTTAGACCATCTCCTGGACTTAGACCATCCTTCCACCTCAGCCTCCCAAGTAGCTGGGACTACAGGCACATGCCACCACACCCAGCTAATTTTTTGATTTTTTTGTAGAGATGAGGTCTCATTATGTTGCCCAGGCTGGTCTTAAAGTTCTAGGCTTAGCAATCTTCCTGCTTCAGCCTCCCACAGTGTTAGTATTACAGGGGTGAGCCACCATACCTGACCTTGAGTTAATTTTTCTATGTGATATTAGGTAATGGTACAACTTCATTCTTTTGCATGTGGATATCTGCTTTTCCCAGCACCATTTTTGAAAAGATTGTCTTTTCCCCATTTTGATAGTCTTGGCCTTCTGGTTGAAAATCATTTAACCAGGCTGGGTGTGGTGGTTCACGCCTATAATCCTAGCACTTTGAGAGGCTGAGGTGAGAGGATTGCCTGAGCCCACAGGTTTGAGACCAGTGTGGGCAGATTGGTGAGACCGCATCTCTACAATAAATCAAAATATTAGCTGGGTGCGGTGGCATATGCCTGTAGTTCCGGCTACTTGGAAGGCTGAGGTGGAAGGATCACCTGAGCCCAGCAGATTGAAGCTATGGTGGCTGTGAGTGTGCTACTGCACTTCAGCCAGGGTGACAGAGTGAGACTCCAACTCAAAAAAAAAAAAAAAAAGCAGTGTCCTTTTATTTCTCATTTATTGAGGGTTTTTATCATGAAACGATGTTGAATTTTGTCAAATGTGTTTTCTGCATCAGTTGAGGTAACCTTTTTTAAAAAATTCTGTTAATGTGGTGTATTATATTGATTGGGCCATCCTTGCATTCCAGAACTATATCTCACTTGGTTATGATATATAATCCTTTTAATATGTGGCTGCATTGGTTTTTTAGTATTTAGCTGAGGATTTTTTTGTATCAATGTTTATAATGGATATTGGTCTATAATATTATTTACTTTTATTTTTATTTCTTGAGTCAGAATCTCACTCCTGTTGCCCAGGCTTTGGTGATCCTTCTGCCTCAGCCTTCCAAGTAGTTGGAACTACAGGCACGCGCCGCCATGCCCAGCTAATTTTTTTGATTTATTGTAGAGACGAGGTCTCTCCATGTTGCCCAGGCGGTCTCTAACCTGTGGGCAGTCCTCTCACCTCTGCATCCCAAAGTACTGGGATTACAGGTGTGAGCCACTGTGCCTGGCCTATAGTTTTCTTGTAGTATTTTTGTCTGTCTTTGGTATTGGGTAATGTTGGCCTTATAGACTAAACTAGTAATTAATCTCTCCTCATCAATTTTTGGAAAAAGTTTGAGAAGGGTTGGTAAATGCTTGGTAGAATTTATCAGTGATATGGTCAGGTCCAGGGCTTTTTTTAGTTGGGAGATTTTTGACTAGTGATTTAACCTCCTTACTAGTTTTAGGTCTATTTAGAATGTTTATTTCTTCACAGTTCAGTCTTGGAGGGTTTTGCATTTCTAGTCATTTATCCATTTAATCTACATTACCTAATTTGTTGGTGTACAATGGTTCATAGTACTCTCATGGTCCTTTTTATTTCTGTGAAATTTGCTCATTTCCTGCTTTTACTTCTGACTTGAGTATTTGAGTCTTTTCTCTTTTTGTCTTAGTTCATCTAAGACTGGATCTTTTTAAAGACCCAGTCTTTGGTTTCATTGATTTTTCTTTGTTGTTTTTCATTGTCTATTTC